CTAGAGGCACAGAGCTGAGCACAGCGTGAGGGCCCTGGGCCCGTTCACACAGGAGGGACTCAGCTTCTTCACACAGAAACAGGAAGGACCCGTGCGGTCAAGGCTGTGGAATAGGCGGAGATAGTGTCAGTCCACCTTTGTGGCCAGATGTGGGACAATGCAGAGGGGTCACCACCTGGGCAAAAGTTCACAATAGCCTCTGGGGTGCAATGGGAATGGCTGAGGGAGGGGACAGAGGAAACAAGCCAAGATGTAATGGGGGGGGGGCAGGCTGGACTGGGGTCCCAGAGGCATGGATCTACCTGCACCACCTGCACCTGTCAGACGAGCAGCCGTGGTCTGTTTCATGAATAATGAACCAAGGGGCAGGTGTCCCTCTCTGTCCACGGATCCCACACCTGGCTCCCGTACCCCCCCAGGGCCAGGCCCCCAGAGGGTGTAAGATGGATGCTGCTGAATGAACAGAGGGGTGGAGGAGTGACAGCCCCCTCCCACCAGCAGGGCATCCCAGCTGGACTCAAGGATAAGCCAGGCTGGCCTCTCCCATCAGGAAGCAAACCCTGAGCCACCACAGACACTCTCTCCCTTGGTGCCCATGGCCTCTGCCCAGCCCTGGCGGACTGGAGGTCAGTCCTCCACAGCAGCAGTCCTCCTGCCAGGGCACAGCTCACGCTGAGTGGCAGAGAGGCCAAGAGGTAGTGGGTGCCCAGCAGGCTTGGGGGAGCAGGATTGTGGGGCACAGAAAGCAGAGCTGCTGGCTGTCACTCATCCCAACTTCCCCAAACCCAGCCCACATCCATTGGCCTCACTGTGGCCCAAATTCCCCAGCTCCTCCCATGACCACCTCATCTCTGGGTAGTCAGTGGCCAGACCCTGGGGACCACATCAGGGATCCAGAGGAGGCCGAGACTGGCTGGCTGTCTGTCCCCGGAGGCAGCTGTGTGGGAGACAGCACAAGGGGTCCCTGCGGCTGTTCCTCCACTCAGCCAGCTTCTGGGCCTATTACTGGACCCCGCCCACTCTGGGCAAGAGTGCGGGCTGCACACAGGCCTCCCCCAGCCCAGCGCTGGAAGGCAGACAGCCCCGGTTTTCCTCGGAGACCCCACCCGCCTCTGCACGTGGGCAGGGCCGTCCCCAACCCTCCCTCAAGTGCGCCGCCGCCGC